ATTCCCTTGCCATAACATTCACATAGTGTATTTTAGAAATGGGAAGTTCTGTATTATCCTGGCACAGGGGAATTCCTACCATAAAAGAAGTGACATTGCCCAAGCAAGCCTAAAAAGAAGTTGTTTATCTTTAAAAATAACAGTAATCTAGTGATTTAAGTTAAAATTCCAAGAAGTAACAAACTGAATTGAAAAAACAAAACCTGCTTTACTAAAGTAATTTTCATTTTCTTGCTCTAATACTAATTTTAAACATGTTTCTATACAAAGGCTTTTGAGAGGCCATAATAAATCAAGTACGCACCCTTCCAAAAACTACAAGCTATTTATTAATCCGGCTCTTGCACATTTTGTTTGATTAACTGCGAATGTACACAAGCCCAGCAAGGCAGGAGAGCAGCAGGATGGCCACGGCAGCGGGGTCAGCCCAGGAGCAGCCCCCAACCCTGGGGCCTCCCCGGGCAGCACAGGGTGCATGAACAGAGCACGGCCCCTGTAAAACACACGCTGCAGCTGTGCCTCGGGCCCACCAGGAACACAGCACTGCTCACTGCAATTTCACTGTCATTCTGCTCACGCCTGTCTCGGCTGCGGGGGCTGTCCTCAAGAACAGCCACACGGCAAACCCCAGCATGAGTCCCACAGCCCAGGCTCAGAGCCAGCAGGCACCTGCAGCAGCAGCAAAGAGGCAGAAGCCGTCCCATAGGGACAGGTGATTTCCAGCTGCACGTGCGTGTATGAATTTATACAAAACACAACGATTAGCTTCATCCATTAGAAGAATCTCAACAGAAAAAACAAAACCACATCCATGACTCAGCAAGGGAAGGAATCACTTCCCTCTGACACCAAACTCAGCTGATGCTGATGGTTTCAGCAGAAGTGACCCGGAGGAGCTCTCAGTGGTGAGAGGGGCAGCATTCACCAACCCTGGCTTCCCACGGGTCTGATGCCTGAACATCTCCAGCCCTGCAAGGGAAAACAGACCAGCACCTCAGTGCTGCCCAGGTCCCACCTCCCTTCCTCCTGCAGCTGCCACACGGCCCCGGTGCAAAGGGTGGCTTTTCCTTCCCCAGAGACAGCTGCACAAAGCAGTGGGCAAAAGGAGTCCCGAGGGAGCGCTGCAGACAGCACCTGACGGATCAGGACGTACACATGGTCACTACTAACATTATTAATTAATTAATAGCACCACTTCCTCCGGACAATAAGCTCCTCCCCTTGGCCTCACTAACTCATGGCTGGGCCACTCCTCCTACCTTTGCCCACATCAAAAACTCCAGATTTCAAAGTTCTTGCCCGTTCACATGACAACCACTTTGTTAGGACAATAATTTCGAGTCAGGTGTCTGGATGCGGCTACCACATCCCTGCACACATCAAATTAACTAACAAGATTAAATCTGAACCTAATTACCAGGAATAGAACAGCCATTCATGTCACGTGCCCCACGCTGGCGTGCGGTCCTGCTCCTGGTGACAATGGCAGCAGCTCTCCTGGCCCCGAGGACACCTCAGGAGCACAGTGGGGCACGATTCCGTGGGGGACACCTTGCTGCTCTCTGCTCATCAGGCACGCTCCCAGGCAGGCCCACCATGGATTGCTTCACCTTGCATCTGCCTTGAGGGCAACCGAACGGGGACGTGAGTCCAGCTCATGAGGAACTCCTTACACCGAGCTCTGCTCGCAGCAGCCTTAGGCCCGGTCACTGCAGCTCAGCCACGGCCAGCTACGGCAATGCAGGGACAACCACGAATTACAACTACCTGGGAACGAGGGACAGCAGAGCACTCCAGCTTGGACTGAAGGACTGCTGCCCAAGTGGCAAACCAGCGGCCTGGCTCTGCAGCATGGCCAGGCAGTGCCAGGCACAGCACCCCCGGGGAAGGAGCAGAGTCCCCACCCTGAATCCACGGCAGCATCACGGAGAGGCAGCACTGCCACGCTGGGGAAGGAGCAGAGCCCCACACCCCGAATCCACGGCAGCATCGCGGAGAGGCAGCACTGCCACGCTGGGGAAGGAGCAGAGTCCCACACCCCGAAACCACGGCAGCATCGCGGAGAGGCAGCACTGCCACGCTGGGGAAGGAGCAGAGCCCCACACCCCGAATCCACGGCAGCATCACAGAGAGGCAGCACTGCCACGCTGGGGAAGGAGCAGAGTCCCACACCCCGAAACCACGGCAGCATCGCGGAGAGGCAGCACTGCCACGCTGGGGAAGGAGCAGAGCCCCACACCCTGAATCCACGGCAGCATCACAGAGAGGCAGCACTGCCACGCTGGGGACACCTGGAGCGGGGAGGCGCTGCCAGCTCAGTGCGATGACGACACCGCCCACACCGCCCGACTCGGTCACCAACGTGAATCACGGCAAGGACAGTCCTGAAAACACTCCAGCGTCTGCTGCGAGACAGGAGACACAGCCGACCGCATTTGCATTCACAGCTGCCTGCTTCTCAGGGAATCTCAGATCCAAAATAGAGCACTTTCGGCGCTTTGATTCATTCTGGCCTTACATTTAATTGATGTTTATAATCACATCCTTCCAGGATGACACAAACGTGTACGACTTCTCAGAAAATACAATGAATCTATGTAATTTATTTAATTAGTTACATAAGAATCTAAACCATGGAGAATGGGATTTTTAATTCTCTCTGCCCTGTCACCATCTGAGGTATCAGAGATGACTGTTATACACTAAATATAAAATGTTTTTTCCATACACAGCAAAACTAAACCTGTTTAGGAGACGCTTTCCTTGACTTAATAGAGATCCTTACATATACAACGCTCAGCAGCACAGACACGCTTACTGATGTGATCAGTTTTGGATCGTGACCAATCTCACGCAAACTAAACAAATACACACGTCTTCGGATAGCAAGCAAAAGCTCCAAATTAGTCACTGGTATTAAAAAGAAGTAATAAAAACTGCATGACTTTTATTTTAGGAAATAAGTGGAAAATATCTTTGAGACACGTTTTTAATCAGTATTTGCTTCAGTATATTGTTACGCTTGTTCATTTTGAATTATGGCACGTACGCAGCTAACAATAACCATGAGGAACAAGGCTCTAAGAGCCCCTGTTCAGAACAGCCTCTCTGCACACAAGCCCAGCCAGCAGAGCTTCCACCACACAGGGGACGAGCCACAAAGGGGCTCCTGAGCTGGGCTGGTCCCTGCCGCTGTCCCTTGGGACTCCTCACACGGAGCACTCTGTCCTCTGCTCGGGTTCTCCTCAACGCGTCCCTTTTCCATTAACACAGCAAGCTACCCAAGTTAAACCCGATGAAGGCATTTTGGAAAAACCTCAAAGATCACTGCTTTCCTTGTATTTTCCTTCCTACCTCTAAAAGCCATATTTTAAAACACCAAGAATGAAAGTTTAAATTTCTACTCTTACACAAAAAACAAAAATGGGGATATTGGAAAACAGAAATAGGGATATTTGGAAAACGGCTTCTGAAATAACTTAAGAAAACCTAGCTTTTATAAAAATGGTGATTAAAGGCAGAAGTTGTAGAATGCTCAGAAGTTGTAGAAAACAAACCAAATCCAAAGCAATAATTTTGGCAGTCATGCAGAAAAATTAGTGAAAGAAGTTCAAGTGCTTATATTTCTGTTCCACCATTAGCTGTATTTAATTATAAGAATTGAACAGAGCTGTGTCTACTTTTCACAACAAAAATCACATCATTAAAGATTTATTTATTGAATATATTTGCACACAAATACAGGAGCTCAATAAAATGTTGATAAGCAGCAAATAAGATATCTGCCCAGGGACTTTCTTCCCAGCAGCCTGCAAAGCTCCAGCACCACAGCAAGCACCCACACTCCCAAAACAACACTTTAAACTGCTACACATCAAAAAGCTGAAAAATACATAATTACATTATCAGGATCACGGACTCACTACCTTTGATTTGTCACTGCTTGAAAGAAGGCTCAAAGTCCACAGGAGTTGTGCCTACGTTTGGAGCATGGAAGGATTCATGACCCAGGTAAAGAGTACCAGACTTCCCTGAAAACCAGAGGTGGGAACACGAAAGTCAGGAATGCTGCCCAGGCACTAATAAACTCTTCTAGACACTAGAATCAACACTTTTGTTCGGATTTTATTCCAAGATTGGAAGAGCCACAGAAGAAAAAGGCAGAGTTTATTTCTGCCCAGAAAGCGCCGCCGTGTTTATCAGGAGCCTCCTTCCACGGGAGCCAGAGGCACGGGCAGCACTGACACAGCGGCGAGCGCGGCCCGGGGAGCGGTGAGGAAGAGGAAGGGCGGGTGGCCCTGGCAGCACCCGACACCTCCTTTATATGGCCAGTCCGGGCCCGCTGCTGCGCCTGCAGCTTGGCATCCTGCTCGGAAAGGCTGAGCCAGCCCGGCCGCTCCTGCGCGCTGCCCGGGGAGCAAAGGCTCCCCACCCCGGGTACATGCAGAGCCAAGGGACATGGCAGGCTCGGCGTGCTCCCACAGCAGGGCACTCACATCGAAAGGCAACGCTTATCTCCCGAGCGCCGGTACCGTCACTGCAGTGCAGATAGCGCCACTGCAGCGCCACGGCCCCAGCAGCCTCGGAGCGCAGCCGGGGCTCCGGCCCGCACAGCGCGCTCACGGCAGCGCCCGCAGCCCGTCCCCGCCGGGCCCGGGGCAGCCCGGCCCGCACAGCCCGGGGCAGCCCGGCCCGCACGGCGCGCTCACGGCAGCGCCCAGGGCCCTGCGGGGCTGAGCGGGCACCTCTGACTGCTCTCCCTTTTTTAGAAGGCAAAAATTCCAATTAACTTCTCGGGAAGCAGGATTGGGCCGGGAGCCCAAGCATGCTCTGGGTTCCCCGGTCCTTACTCACCGCTCGCAGTTGGGCTCGCCGGCCGGGACACAGCCGGGCAGCAGGAATGCGGGGTGCTGCGGGAGGGCCGGCAGCCCGGGCCCAGCCCGCTCCTGCAGCCGTGCCCCGGCCCGGCAGGGCTGGACGTGCTGCAGTAAACAGCAGCCATGTACGGTACAAACGCTGCCCCCGGCCTGCCGGGCCGTCCGAGCGGGAATGCAGATGCCAGCAGCCGCCTCCCGTGCCGGCTCTGCAGGCAGACCTGAACCCACGGCCACCCCAGGCACGACACGCTATTTATAATGCTTTCAACATTTCGCTTTTCTCTGCAAATAATACCTGCTCCAAGTTCAAGTCCAAGGCTTATTTTGCCTTGCCAGATGATCTGCGACCGTCTCATGACTTATTACATTGTTATCGCTGCTAAGCTGAGCAAACAGGGCTGCTAAGTCTATTAATCTTCTGAAACACGAAGTCTGAAACTGCAGAAACAAAACATCTCACTACAAGATACATAAAATGTGCTATAGAGAGATAAGGGGGGAATTCAGTGCATGCTCTGTTAAGTTTTTTCAGCGCCACTGCAAGCAAGACTGACGCACTTTTGCAAGAGCCGACTCTGGATGTAACACCAACAAGTTACATAAGGGAAAAGAAATTCCTTTTAGGAGAGCAGCGTGCCCCAGGGCGGACAGCGAGGTGCACTTCCCACAGGAAAAGCCGGGCCCTCAGCAGGCGCTGGAGCTGCCACCTGCACATTCTCCAGAGGGGCTGATAAAGGAGCCCAGCCCAGCCAGGCCAACCGCGGCGGGCTGGGCAGGAGCTCTGAAACACGCCCAGCCTTTGGCGTTTAGAGCAACCCATCTAGCACTTACTGCTTTTTATCCTGTGGAAATCCACTCCTTTCAGCTATTCATATACACCTTGCATATTTGTGTACCAAAATATTTTTCTGAGAAAACAAGTATTTGGCCTATTTGACCAAAGCAAAGAGAGCACACAGGAGTCATAGATTTTATCACAGTGCTCAGATCAGGGCAGCTCCAGGAGGGGGTTTGGAAGGACAGACAGACCCAAGCTGAGCTGGCCCATTCCCCAGGCTGGGCTAATGCTGGTCGTGCACTTGCCTTATGGGAATTATAATCTGGCTACACAAAACTCAGGCCCAGCTGCATTTTCCTCAGGCCTGGCTGCCTCAGTTTCCCTGTATAACCCGTATATTCAAACCAAAATGAACTCAAACTGCAGGATTTTGCACCCTTTTGACAGAATGCTGTCATCTTACACACCGCTGCTGCTCTTACTAATTTGTACCAACGGCAATTTTACCTTCAAAATTTCAAACTTAATCAAGTTGAACTGTAAGAACTCAAGTCAGATTTTACTGAGGATAGATTATACCTATTGCAAACTTTTTTTTATTCCCAGCTACTTTGAATAAAGATATTTTGGATTAAAATATTCTTCTATAACAATTACATGCACATAATCTGAAACGTGGACTGTTTGACAGGGTAGAAGTTGACACAAAGTGGACATTTAAAAAATTTAATTGATCTTTTAGGAAAAGCAATTCTTCTGACAGATAGTGGGACTTCACCCTGAGGTCAGCACACATCAAACCCAGCGCCCAAACCGCCCAATGGGCATAGGAAACCTCCTATCTGTCAGCCTGCCCCAGCTCAGGGCGCTGCTGTCGCTCTCCTGCTGCTGCCTCTGACACTGCTGAACAGACTTCAGAGCATCCTCACAACAGCAGAACTTACTGCTGGTCTTGAATGCACAGATCAGGGCAAGCAGCATTTGTCTCTGGCTCTTTGCTCTGAGCAAGGCACTGACCAGGCCATTGCCCCTGCACAGACTGCTGAAGGGAGAGTGGGCTGCAGCATCCTCACAGGAGCCACACCAAGCCTTCACCCCACAACTCGGGACATTACCTGTATTTGCTCAGCTCAGGATGCATTGAAGCTTCATCACAACCACAACATGGTTTTAATAGTCCCTTCTCTTTCCTTGTTAATTGCTGGGAACTCTCTTTGACACTAATGGAATCGCAATTGCAAATATTCACAGCAGAGCAGATATGTCCAAATGTCACTGAGGACAGCACTCAAACATATTTACATGTTTATTCTTTTGGTAAATAACTATGGGGTAGGAGGAAAGAAACGTTGTTTACTTTGCTGCATAACTTGGGAAACTAAGTTTACAGTATATAATTGTTAATAAAATTAAATTTAAAAATAATAAGCATAGGCAACTGCTCTAATGCCTAAGGCACACAAACAGTGGAGACCACAAGTCATGCGAGGCAAAGGAGAGCCCCTGTGTAGGGCTGAGCACAGCAGGACACACTGAAGTGTAGGAATTCCCAGGGAAGCAATTGAACTCTGCCAGATCCTCCCTCTCCCTTCCCTCCGGACAGAAGTAGTAGCAGGAATTTGCTGATAAACTCATAGTTGCAAAAATCATCCTTGGCATGAACATAAATCATGAGGAATGGGAACAGAATTTTTCCTGCAGTTTTACCTTAAGGAGCTGGCCTTAGCTAACATGCTGTTTACAGCATTCCCATCGAAAATATGCCTAAGGAAAACACCCATTAAGCCTTTGAAAGTAACGGAGTTACCACAAGGCCTTTTACAACCCAACACGCATGACTTCCCCAGTGTCAGAAAATGATGTCTGCAGATTATTATCCACCAGCTCCTGAGAAGGAATCAGCCACTATTTAGGAATCAAGAGGTGCTGAGGCTCATGCCCCTAATTACAGGCATCTCTGTGTCACTACCACCTCCCCACTGACGCTGAAGCAGCAGAATAAAAAAGTACTCGAAGGAAATAAAAACAGGGAGGGAAGCCTATGATTTAATCTGAGCTGACCAGCAGATCTTCATCTACACCACACGTGTAAGAACCATCCTGTGGCCACAGAAACCCCCCTGGACAGCGAGGTGAAACCAGGCGGCTTTGACAGCCTGTCTGCTCCGGGCAGCCAAACCCTGCAGGGCAGCACCTCCCACGGCCAGGTGGGCTCCAGTGTTTGCTGGCACCCATGTCCATCTCCTGGGCATCACCCTTGTGCTGCAGGCTTCCAGCACAGGCGGCTCGAGGGCAGTCAGAGCAGCACCCAACGCAGGGACGGAGCAGGACATGGCCGGGACATCGCACCGAGGCCACGGAATGGGGCACTCACCTGCCCTCCAGAGGACAGGCTGCAGGAGTGCATTACAGATCCTCCTACGCAGGGGAACCAGGCTGGAGGCAGCTGTGGGATACACCCCACTGGCTCTTTATTGCCCATGCCTGCTTTCAGCCCAGAGCAGAGAGACGCCCAACACCTCTGGTTCCTGCAGTGGCACAGCCCAACCTTCCACATGCAGCAGTCCTGTCACCATTGCAGTGAGCACGGGGTTACCAAGCCTTTCATTTCCTCTTTTATCTACTTTAAATTATCATAATACTGCTCTGTGCCAGTGGGCCTGCCCAGGGTCAGTGTCACATGCAGCCAGCACGAGGGAAGCAACCTGCAACCTCTTCTCAGCTCTCACCCCAAACCTCCCCTGCAGCAACAAGTGCCATCGCTTAATTATTCATTATGCAAATAATTTTCTTGTCACTTTGGAATATGTTGTCGTTTCATTAGAACCCCTTCTCCGTAGTGCCAAAAAAAAAAAATACAACCCAGTTAAGTTATTCACCATCACTATTCATTACTTCCATCCCTCTTTCCCGTTACACCCCTTCCCTGAACCTGCTCTCCTGCACTTCATTACCTCTGTCACCCGTGTCCTGCTTCTCCCTTTCCCTGGGGCATATATTCCCCACCTCAAAAAAATCACCAAAAGAAATTATTTCTTTCTAAGTCAGACAATCACATATTTTTCCAAGACAACCATTTTACACAAACATCCCTGCATTTTCCTCTTCCACTATACCGACATCTTAACAAACTGACTTGTTTGCACCTGCAAACCAAAGTTCGGAATTCAAGAACTTTCTCCAAAAATGAAACAAAAAGCTCTCTTTCCGTCACGCTACCGCGGCAGCCGCCGGGGCCAGGCCGTGCGGTGAGTGCGCACGGGGCGCTGCCGCCCGCCCCGCCGTGTGCGGCTCCCGCCGGCCTCAGACCCCGCACCGCCGTGTGCGGCTCCCGCCCCGCCGTGTGCGCCTCCTGCCCCGCCGAGCTCCCGCCGGCCTCAGACCCCGCACCGCCGTGTGCGGCTCCCGCCCCGCCGTGTGCGCCTCCTGCCCCGCCGAGCTCCCGCCGGCCTCAGACCCCGCACCGCCGTGTGCGGCTCCCGCCCCGCCGTGCGCGCCTCCTGCCCCGCCGAGCTCCCGCCGGCCTCAGACCCCGCACCGCCGCACCGGCCCCGCGGCACCCACCGCCCGCCGGGCGGCCCCGACCCACGGCCGAGCCCCGGCCCTGTGCCGCGGAGCCGCTGTTCGCCCCGCGGCCGGGCGGGTCGGGCTCCGAGCTCCGGGCGGGGACCCGCGTGGGGAGCCCCGCGGCGGGCGCTGCCGCAGGGACGCGCGGGCAGCGGGGCCGCGCCCCGGCCCCTGGCGGAGGCCGGTGGCTGTCCCCGGCCCGCCGAGCGCAGGCTCCCCCGTTCCCGCGGAGCCCCCGCTGCCGCGGAGCCGCCCCGCAGGGCCGCCGCCCGCCTCCCCCCGCCGCGGGCCCGGCCTCGCCGCCGCACTCACCCGGGCCTGCCGGCGGGGCCCTGCCGGCGCGGCCCGCTCGGCTCAGCGGCTCATGCTGACGGTGCCGCCGGCGCGGCGGGCGGAGGCAGCGGCGGCCCGGGCTCCCCGCGCCAGCCCCGGGCCCGCTTCCGCCGCCGCCCCCGCCCCGCCCGGAAGCGCCGCCCGGCCCCGGCCCCGCCGGCAGCCCCGGGCCCGCGGGGCGCCCGGCCCGGCCCCGGCCCGGCCGCGCTCACCTAATCCCGGTGCGGCCTCCGCGCTCCGGGCGCCGCGGGAGCGAGGGGAAGGCGCGGAGCGGGGCGGCGGCGCGGCGGGCTGCCCTCCCCCGGGGCCGCCCTCCCTCATCCTCCCCGCGGCGGAGCGGCCGGCGCCTCATGAGTCACCGAGCCCGGGCCCGCACACGTGCCCGGCCCCGCCGCCTCCGGCCGGGGGAGGCACGGCAGGGGCGGCCTGGGGGCGGGCGGCGCTGCCCGGGCCCGGCCGTGTCCGCAGAGCGCCCGGCGCGATGGCTCCGGACCCCCCCAACGCCGTTCCTGAGGACGCGATCCTCTAGGGAATTGCTTCCCGAGGCAGGCAGAGGGACCCTGCTTTCCTCCCGGCTCCCGCTCCTCCTTCCTCTCAGCGGGAGCGGCCGATGCAGAGCGGCGTTGTGCCGGCTGCTGCGGGGGCTGGCGGGGCTCGCCCGGCACCCACCGTCAGCGGCTCCCCGCTCCCGGCCCTCCGCAGCAGCAGCAGCAGCAGCGGCACAGCCCACCGCCCAGCCGACAGGTCCGCTGTGCCCCGGCACAGGGCACGTGTCGGTGCCGCCGTGCGGGTGACACCGGCTGCAGGGCGCAGAAAAGGACACCCAGCAGTCTGGATGAGCCAGAGGGGTATCGGTGTGTCCCCTGCCAGGACACGCGCACAGGGCCATGTGCAAAGGGCTCATCGAACCCCCGTGGTGCTAACCACACTTTAGGAAAGACAAACAAACTGAAAAGCGACAAGGAAAGAGACGAGGAAAGAGACGAGGAAAGTGACAAAGAGTTTCTCTCCAGTGTCACATATATTAAAAATCTTTTAACACAGACACATGAGCAGAGGGTTATGTTTTGTGAGATGAAGTAATGACAAATCCTTACTTTACTTTGGAAGACAGATTTTGTTACCTGGTCTCAAGATCTAACTCCAGCTGCTTCCTTCATCAGGCTTTTTGTTCTATTTGGCAGCCTGGAGGGGATATAATTAACTTTGCTTTTCTTGTGCTCTAATCACCCCTGCAACGGAGCAGGCAGCACTTTGGAAACAGGATGGGTTTAGTGAGCATCCCTCCTCAGAGCCGCCCGGCCTGGGGAGCATCCAGGTGTGCCACATGCCCGAGGGAATGCCGGCACCTCACTGGCTGGGAGAGCTTTCTGATACCTGCTGGCTAGATCTGGTGGCTTTTTGCTAGAAACGGGAGACTGAAAGGACAAAGCATTCAATTTTCTCTCAGAAAAATGTTGTGTTCTTACGCTTGCATTTCAATGAAGTTTAATCCCGATCAGAACAAAATCCATGACAACTGGTATGCCATGGTATTTAAGATTTACCTGCCTCACTGTGGGGCAGTGCAGGTGTCCCTGGCTGCACAGCCCCGATGGGCCCTGGGAGTGAACATTGTACTGGGCCATTTGTGCTCTTCCTGTTCCCGTTCAAGCACAAAGAGCTCCCTGGGCCATTTCCTCCCTGAGAACCGACATCACCGCTCTGGGCGTTTTCAAAGCACTTGTTCTGCTCACAACGTTTTTGTACAAACTCCTCCCTGCCCAAATTCTTTCTAAATAATGGCATGAGACAGTGTCTTGGTGCTGGGAGACTGGAGCTGTGTCCTGGGCACAGTGAGGGCATTTCTCACTGTATCCTGAAAAGTGAATGCATTCCATTCACGTTGGTTTATGCAGGTCACAGGGGATCAAACCCTAGGGCATGGATGTCAGGCACAAGCTTTGTCATAACAAAATGTCCAGGCAGGGCAGGGTCAAGAGAAAACCGAGAGGAAATTTCAGATCCAGGGGTCTCCCACAGCAATCACCACCTGCGGTTCCAACAGACTAATTGTCTTACAGCAAGGATAAAGAAATATGTCATTGCACACTCAGCATTGTGTGCTGCTCAGCCCAGAGGACAAAGAGAAACACTGTGTGCTAAGGAAGTTTTTTGAGGGCTACTTTGTGTTTTAGAGTCCCTTTTTGCTTACACAAGGCGAACAAGAAAGAGGAGCTCTCCCGGCTGAGTCAGTGCAGCCCTGGTGCTGTGGAGGTGAGAGGCTGACCTGTGAAATTGGTGCCTGCCCTTCCCTCTGAGCCTGGCAGGCAGCAGGGCCAGTGGTCACCCGGACGTGGCACAGGACCAGCGTGTCCCAGAGGCTGATGCCAGGGTGCCTGTGGGCATGCTCTTGGCAGCTGCACCTCGAGCAGAGCAAACACACGCCCCCGCTGCAGGGCTCCCCCCCGTCAGGAGCACAGGGGCTCTGTACCTGGCCTTACACACAGACAGAAACCACCTGAGCTCCAAGCGTGTCCCGTGTCATCATTTTATCTCACCAAATAGCTGCTATACAGCAGCCACTAAGTCAGCCTACACTCTGATCTTCCTTCCCTCCTAGAGCCTTTATTAAAGGCAGCCACACGAGTTGCTTCAAACCCGGACTGAACACGACTGCGGCCCTGCAGAAGCCGTTTGCTTCCTGATGCCCTTATTTGTGCAACACTGGCGAAGCTCAAGTTCCCCAAAAAGGCCTGACACAAGCTGCAGCGCTGCTGCCGCACAAGGCCCTGCAGCCTCCCTGCTCTTCCGGAGCCGCTCTGCACGGCGCACGCTTCCCGCCAGGCCACAGCACATCGCTTTCTTTTAATGAGCTCATCTGCATCTGCATTTCTGTAAATATAGCACGCACAGTTACCACTTGGCCCTTACACTGTTTTGTACTTTTGTTTCAAAGCCTCCTGCAACTACGGTGTGATAGTATGTTTGTTGAAAGCAATAAGATACTTAAAATCTCTCCTAGTCTACAAGCACACAAATGAGAAAAATCCACAGTGCAATTCCTAGCAAATAATTGTGATACCCATTATAGGTTTTGCACTTTGTACAAAGGCAATTTCTTTCCTTCTCTGCAGCAGCTCATGCTGGAGCCCCTCCAGCAGCACCTGTTCACTCCCCAGCCCCATGGGAGCAGTGTGGGTGCTCAGCCCCATGGCTGCTGCGTGTGATCCAACGTGGTGTTTAGTCACAGAAAACTGGCGGGACGTCCACCGGCAGCAGCGGATTTCACGGTAGGAAGCTGAGGGTCGCTCTCAGAGGATTAATGTCATTTCAGCCTCCCATGTGCTTAACCAACAGCCCTCCAGAGTGCCAGAGCAGGGCTGAGGCGCTCCAGGGATGGACACCCACCCCCATGTGGAGGGCCAGCACTCACCCCGCTGGGAAATGCACCCAAAGCGGGGCACAGCCATGGCCTCACCAGCCCTGTGTCCCCTCTACTGCCAGAACTCAACAGATGTTAGACCAGCTCGCAGGGCTCCTGTAAGCATGTGAGAACCTCTCTCAACTTTTCCAGCACAGTAAGCACCACAGGTGATGAATGGATCAAACTGCAGCAAAAGCAGAAGAAAGAGAAGATGCACATGCCGGCACCGTGGCAGTGCTTGTTCCACGTGTCCCTGGGAGCAGGCTGCTGCTCACTCAGGGTGCAGCTCCTCCACACCACAGGGGTCCCAGTGGACCCCCAGCACACACCAGAGAGGGTCTATGGTGGGTCTGACTGCAACTTTTAATGCTCTTCAGAACCACAGACTTTTGTTACTCATGCCCTGCATAAAAGCATTAACTGTTCATTTCTCTAATAAATTATTCAAGTCTTCACTAACTCAAGATAGCGGGGTGCACATGCAAAAGCAGCACAATGAAAGACGACAATGAAACCGTCCAGCTTTGTGAACAACTCACCGTCCGTCCTTCCCGGCGGCCGCAGTGTCCTGCTGCTCTGGGCACGCCGGTGAGCCCCGCTCCAGGGCAGCGGCTCGGTGCCACCTGGGCTGGTGCTGGGGCACAGCAGCGCGGCTGGCACAGCCGCCGCCCCCGGGGCCAATGACAGCCAGCAGCTCTCTGCGGAGGTAGCCTGGCCTGGGGAAGCGGTGACAGGCCGGAGAATGACACTTACCAAACCTGGGGAGCCAAGGAGTGAAGTGAGCCCTTCCTGCAGCGCTGGCCGCGGGCTGGGCTTTGCACATGTATTTTCTTAAGGAAGCAAAAGTTCCTTTCTGCTGGTAGAGAAGGCCACGGCAGAGGAAGTGCTTTGCATGGCGCTGCAGCCCCGCTCGCTGACGGAGCTCACCCGCACCGGGGACACGGACACGCGGCTGCAGCCCCGCTGTGCCCCGTTAATCTGCCCGCTGGCAGCTGCTGGGGGAAGCGGGCCATGGGCCACGCTCCCTGGAAATGGGGCAATGGCTGGGGCGTGCCCGGGACTCCTTCCTGCTGCAAGCCGCAGATAACGGCTGCTGGCCTCGCAGCCAGGGGCTTTCGGGCCCATTTTCGCTCTTTCTGCTGGGGTTACCACCGGCTCCGGGCTTCCAAAGGCAGCCGCCCTTCCACCCAAAGCTCTGCTGCGCTCAGGGCCAGCTGGAAATGTCCCTCGCTAATACCAGGGGGAAGCACCGTGGTGCCCCACGTTCACTGGCCATGCCAGCTCTGGTACACCGTGCAGCGGCTCCCGCCTGGCATGTGCACGGTGGGCATGGCCCAGGACAAGGGGTGTGTGGCAGTGCTGCAGGGGAAGGGCCGTGTGGCTCGGCTGTGCCAGCTGTGCCCCGCAGCCGGAGCAGGGGGCTCGTACCCACAGCCCCGTGCCAGCAGCGGAGCCGCCTCTCCGGACCCGGGCCCTGCGGTGCCCGAGCTCAGACTGTGCTGCGGGTGCAGCTGGAGGTGCACACAGGCTGAGCAGCCTGGAAGCGCTGCTGAGGGAGCCTGCAGTCGGCTCAGCCATGCACAGCATTTCCTGTCATTTCTTTCCGCTCCTGCCCGGTGTCCCCCTCTGCTCCTGCCCTGCAGAGCGCTGCTGGATTCACCATCCCACCCTACCGGGCACTGCAGCAGTGGAAGGAACAGCTCTCCACGAGTCCCTGAGCCTGCTCGTGGCACGTACCAGCCACCAACAGCCTGGCACGGCCCAGCTTGGCCCCAGCACTGGCAGCACAGTGGGGGGAACAGGTCTCTGTGTCTGCACAGCTTCCTCACTGAGGCTGCCCCAAGAACTGCCCTGTGTGACAAAGACAGTCCCGAGTCCTGATTTCAATCACTAATAAATAATAAAATCAATTACAATAGTCACCTGAGAAACATCCATTCCTATTACAGAATTTTGTGTTTTGTCAGGGATAGGGATGCTCTGCACTAGGGGTCTCTTCCCATCCTGAAGCCTTTTCCAAGCAGAGCACAGGCACCCTGGTCCCTTCTCTGGGATTCCCAGAGATTCTCTAGCTTGGTCAGAGTAAAACCCCCAATAAGGGTGAAAGGTACCCAGAAATCTCA